AAGTTTTTGGGGTTGGGGCTGTGCCTTACGAAGGTTTGTACAGTGCCTAGCACAATGAGAGCCCAATCTGGATTGAGGCCTCTAGGTGCTACTGTAATGTAAATAACAGCTCGCCTCATTCCCACGGGACCACACGGCTGCTCTTTGTCTTATCATTTTTGGCAACACGAATGTGCCTAGACTAAAACTGATGCTGGAAACTGTGTTTTGTATGGCAAGTGCTCTGAAAAACTTGGGTGAAATATCAAAGTTACTGTGACTGAAATTAAAATAATTTGTGGTTAAATAGGGGGAAAGTGGAAATTTGTAGCAATTACTTAGATTTATGGCTGGAACCAGCTGACAGGCTTTGTCAGTTTCATCTGCTATCCATGTTCTGTTATGTTTCATTCAGGTCTCTGGATGTTTTTCCTTTTTGGGATGGAAACCTTTCTCCTCTGTCGCTGTGATGGGGGATTCTCTGGCCCAGGGAGACTTTATATTTCTGTGAATAGGAGAAATTGGGGTTTTATTGGGATAGGATTAAAATTCGAAATGATCTGGAGAAATGGTCTGAAGTAAATAGTATGAAATTCAATAAGGACAAATGCGAAGTATTCCATGTAGGAAGGAACCATCAGTTGCACACATACAAAATGGGAAATAACTACCTAGAAAGGAGTACTGCGGAAAGGGATCTGGGGGTCATAGTGGACCACAAGCTAAATATGAATCAACAGTGTAATGCTGTTGCAAAAAAAGCAAACATCATCATTCTGGGATGTATTAGCAGGAGAGTTGTAAGCAAGACACAAGAAGTAATTCTTCCGCTCTACTCCGCTCTGATTAGGCCTCAACTGGAGTATTGTGTCCAGTCCTGGGTGCTGCATTTCAGGAAGGATGTGGACAAATTGGAGAGAGTCTAGAGAAGAGCAACAAAAATGATTAAAAGTCTAGAAAACATGACCTATGAGGGAAGATTGAAAAAATTGGGTTTGTTTAGCCTGGGAAAGGGAAGAGTGAGAGGGGACATAACAGTTTTCAAGTATGTGAAAGGTTGTTACAAGGAGGAGAAAGAAATTGTTTTTCTTAACCTCAGACAAGAAGCAATGGGCTTAAATTGCAGGAAGGGAGGTTAAAGTTGGACATTAGGAAAAACTTCCTAATTGTCAGGGTTGTTAAGCACTGGACTAAATTGCCTAGGGGGGTTGTGGAATCTCCATCATTGGAGTTTTTTTTTTTTTTTTTTTAAGAGCAGGTTGGACAAACACCTCTCAGGGATGGTCTAGATAATTAGTCGTGCCACGAGTGCAGGGGACTGGACTAGATGACCTCTCGAGGTCCCTTCCAGTTCTATGAATCTATGATCAACCTTAAAAATACTGGGCCAGATTGTGATCTCCATTGCAACAGGATAAATCTAACCTGAGTGGAATTATTCTGTGGAGTGCAATTGGTATCAGAAGCAGTACTGTTGTCCCTAGTTCCAGAACACAATTATTCTGTCACCCGCACGCCAATAAAATAAATAAACTAACACAGAAACAGAGCGTGGCTGTTCCCCCAAATTAATATTCAGACATATGGGAATCATTGTCTTGCCTATATTTCTTTGTTGCTGCAATCCAGAGAGAGCTGCTAACACTGTCCTCCATAAATCCTCCTCCTTCGCTGCATGATTTGCTCGTCGCCACCTGTGTGGGGTTGTTAAATCATGATGATGCTTGTGGTTTAGGAGAAGGAATCATCCAGCTCACTTGGTTTGCTCTGCTCTGTCAATAGACACGTTCTCTAAATCTGGGGGAACTTTCATGCTATACAATCTAGGGGCCAGTCCATGCCTGTGAAGTACAGGCCTCTGTTGGTGGCCTCCCCTTCAAATCTGATGCATGTGACCAAAGACTGACATAAGTAACACCTGGGTTTTGAAACACGCCGCGCCATAGCTGATAAATTTCATATGTATTTTAAACCATAAACCCATTGTTAAGGATTTTTGCCTCACTGTGTGAATCAAATGAAATGGTTCTTCAATCTGTTACAGATGTGGCTGGAGGTTTGAGGGGGTCCCTGCCCTGGCTGTTAAAGGAGTGTGTGTGTGTGTGAGGGGAGTTCTCTACCTGGGGTGTCAGGGGGAGGAAGAGAGTGATCAGGCTACCCCCAAATTCAATTCATGCTGTTCCCCACACCAACACAATTTAAGTTATGGAAAAATGGAAGTTACCTGGTGCAACTGTATCATCCTTTTGTTCTGTTTGTACAGCGCCTAGCACAATGGGGTCCTGGCTTATAACCAGGGCTCCACAGTAGAGGGGTGTGAGGTGCACATTATTAACACCAGTCAGTAGAAAAGGTGAGGCTTGACCTCGTGGTCTCCTGGATCCTATTCCAGTGCACCTTCCTCTAGGCTAAGGGATATTTTGATGGGGGGAGATGTGCTCTCATCTATGTATTACTTCCTAAATTAGTGAGACAGGGAGCCTGATTTGACTGAAATGTAGAACATCCCACAAAATATAGTACATGTGAGAGCTTTGGTTGGAAACAAGGAGAATTTGCACTGCTCTTGAGGTGTTTCCAGAAAGTGTTGTGTTCCCAGAAGGAGGGGTGTTGCTCCAGCTTTTAGGAGGGTGAGTTCCCCACCGTAACCAGGTGGCGGCAGCAGACAATCGCTTTCCACTGTTTTTGAGGTTTTATCCCTGATGGTTTGTCAGACTGTGAATTTGAAATCTAGTGTGCACACCGCCACTACCAAGAACTGCACTTGTGACTGTACCCTGCACCTTGTGCCCATGTAATAATCTGACACTTAGCCAAGGAGTTGCACATTAGATTTCAAATCTTCCAATCTCTAACAACCATCAGGGAAAGAACCCACGACCTTTAGTACTGGCTTTTACTCCTTGAGCTAAAGGAGTATTTCCTTTAACTGGTAGGAGTAGTACGCTCTTATCCTCTGTGGATCACCCACTGGAGATGGACACTCACACTTAGCCAGGATGTTACACCACTGTTGTGTACCTGCGCAAGGACCCGTCACAATCTGGCTTTACATGTTTCCACCAGGTACCTTCCTCAGATGGAAAGGGACAATACTTCCATCATTACATGCATTACAAACTGTACCCCTTGCAACCACAGTGCATGACCATGAGCATAGTGACAGTGCATTTGTGTTTAATGCCGGGACATACACACATCACTGGACTCCATGTTTCAGCCCTTACTAAATACAGTACATGCACATATCTCACAAGTAATACAAGCTACGAAGCTAGTGGGTATTTGTGAAATGTGGATCTCCCAGTATCTGCATACTCAGATGTAGTCTGCTTAATAATACGTATCGCTTCAGTAAGTCTAGATAATGTTTGTAATTCTCACTATTTGGCCAGATAGGTAAGTAGTAGTATCCACATTTTACAGAGGGGAGAATGAGGTAGAGTTTAAGGCCATTTACATGAGTTATTGGGCTCAGTTCGGGGGTAATCTATCTCCTGTATATCGCAGGTCATTAAATTACACCCAGCCTAGATGATCTAATGTCCCTTCTGATCTTAACTCTGTGAATCATGTGTGCTACAATTACACACCTAAACTGGTACATCTAGTTATCCGGATTCAAAGTGTGACCATAGTAACCATGTAAAAACAAGGCATTTATTGTATGCATGTGCAAAGTGCACACACAATTTTCTGAAAACTCTTAAGTTCTATGATTCTGAAGGATAAGGATCAGAGTCAAGATCAGAACTAAGGAGTTTCTGCCTCCTAGTGCAGTGTTCAGGCCGCTAGACCACATCTTTAGAGCTGGTCCAAAAAAAAGTGAAAATTTTCAAATTTCAATTTGCACAATTTTTTTTTTTTTAAACGAAAAATTCAACCAACTGATCAAACATACAATGAATTTTTGAAATTCCTAGAGGGAAATAAACACTCCTGCTTTTTTGTACTTTTTCCCCACTGGAAAAGAAGAGGAAAAAAGTTTAAAAATGAAAGAATGGTATTTTTCCCCAACAAAACAGGACAAGAAACTTCAGTATTTTTGTTGATGAACAAAGTTTTGACCAAAACAAAAATATTCTGCAAAATTTTGTTTTGATAGAAAATCACCTTGTCATTTTTAAATGAAAATCTAGTTGTATTAGTAACATCTTATCAGCCTTACTAACATACGTGATTAACACGGAACATTTTTATTTAAAAAAATTAAACACAGAATTTTAGTACCAATGCCAAGAAAACAGTTAATTTTATTCAAACAGTTTAAAAATAGGAACAACACAAAACCTAGATACTTTCTTCTGGATTTTATTTTTGACTGAGTAAAAATCCTTTGATGGTTTTTAGGATGCTAAGAAAACCTTCGGTCTGTAGTAGTTCTCCAGAAACTGTACTATTTCAACCTGAATTATGCTGACTTGACAGGCAGACAATTTGAAGCTGCTGCAGTTTATAGAAGAGTCAGACTTTTAAGAAATGCCAGTATTATTTCAGGAGAAAAATATATGCTTCTGTTTCCAAGGGGAGCAGAGTTAGAAGATAACTAAGCTTCAGCTGCTTCCTAGAAGCCAAAGCAACAGTTAAGTATCAAATTCAGCTTGGTTTGATACAAATGGTTGTATAAAAGCTGGTACAGGCTCCCTCTAGGTCCTAATGCAAGGATGGTGCATGAGCCCAATGCAGCCTGTGGTTGCTCTTCTCTTCAGTACAGAGGTGCAGCCTGTGGAGACTACATGTCCCAGCATGCAATGTTCCGCCATGATCTGGATAGTCTAGTAAGGTTTGGGGGTTCAGATCAAGCATTGCATGCAGGGACCTATACCTCCATGGCCCACATTTCTGGAATAAAGATAAGCTGCTATCTGGTCATTTTTATGCAAGTCAGGTGTAGCCCTGGCAAATTGTCAGTGTTGCCCTTGGTTGGGCAAAGTCTGTCTGCCTCTGTCCTAAAGTTGCAAATATTAAGTGTATTTGTATTCAGGTCACGTAAATTGATTATAAAATAAATATTAAAAAACAAAAAGGGGAAATACACCGAACGCCTTCCTTTATTTATTTATTTTCATTACTCTTCCATGGCGTATTGATATCAAGAGCGGTGATTTGGCTAACCAATTCCAAGCCATGAACTGATGTGTATATACACAAGGTTGGCATCCTTGTCAACCAATGAGATTGCTGCCTTAACTTAAGCCATTTTAATAATTCAGTTTCTAATCTCTTTTGGCAGTGCCTAAGGAGGAATGTTGGGAAATATATTTTAAGGGATGACTGCCTCCAAGAAACAGGATTTATTTCGTACTTTAAGAAATTAGACTATATCAAATGTGTAATAAAAATATTTTCTATAGGATTTTAAAATATATACACATATAAACTACCTTAATGCCCTGTTGATATTGATGTGATCTCTATAGTATCTAAACCTAGGTAAATGAGGTTGCCCAGCAACCTCCATGTCTTAAAACAGTGATTACAAGACAGGAGACCTTGTCTACCCTGAAAATTGAAGCCTGCTTGAAAACTGGATCTGAAATCTTTTTTTATGGTCCTGATTCAGCTCCCATTGGAAGTCAGTGCAAAGATGCCCATTGACTGAGAGCTGGATCCAATCCTAGACACAGGTCCAGGTAACCTGGTTTCAAATATTGCTAGACTGGGCAGTGAAAATGGAGCCAAAGTGTATTGATGCTGCAATCCCCGTAAGGCTCAAACAGACTCTTTGGACGCACTCTTCAGACAGCTTGGTCCAGTCTACAGTGTCCAGCCAAATCTAGTGTGGATCCTGCTTATCTAGTACTGTATATAAACAGAGTTCCAATTTGTTTTTCATACATGGTTCAAATGCCAGTGTAGACAAGGTGTGAGGACCAGATCCTGCACTCTAATGCAGGCAAAACTCCCACTGGAGTATTTGGCTGTGTAAGGAGCATGAGATCAGGCCCTAAGTCACCAATATCATTGGCTTGTGCCCTAAACCTTGCATTATACTTTAAGGTAGGTAGCATGAGAGTTCTCTTGCTTTAAAGAGTTAATATGTGGGATTTGGCCTCCTGCAGAGGAGAGCTTCTCACTGAGCTTTCGGTTTATCTGCTCCATGTGCCTGTTGTTCTTTCTGGCTTGCCGGAGGGACCTCTTGACTTTCTTCACCCGGTCTCGGAGCTGCTTGTTGCGTTTCTCCAAGGTTGCCACCTTCTGCTGCAGTTTCTTCACTTGATCCTCTTCCTCAAATAGGGCTTTCTGGACCGAAGAACACATGAGCTGAGGGAAGAGTAGAAAGGAAACAGGACACATGAGCTCTAAACCAAAGCCAGGAAGCCACTTGCACTATGAAGGCACATGTAAATTCCCCAGACATTCTGTTGCTGGAACACCCCACAACTGGATGGTCGCTTTCGGAAGCTCCTCCTCATCTTGCAGTTTTCTCCTAAAATCTTCTACCCCTCAGTCTTCTCTGAATATAAGAACAAACTACTTCAGATCTTAATAACATTAGCTATCAACATCACCTTAATGAGCTCTACAAGAGGTTAACCTAGGTCAGTGGTATTCAACCTTTTTTCATTTGTGGATCCCTAAAAAATTTCAAATGGAGGTGTGGACCCCGTTGGAAATCTTAGACATAGTCTGCAGACCCCCAGGGGGCCACGGACCACAGCTTGAAAACCACTGGTCTAGGTCATCAGTGGCATTTAGTTGAACTTAAGAAGGCAATCTGGCCTGTCTCTGCTCTGTGTTTCAGATCTGGGATTTGAATTCATCCCATTGGGTTCTGCCATTTGTAAAATCTATACTCAGACGCAGGGTTTGATTATTATTTTTTTTTAAACCCTTCTGAAGTTCAGGTTTTGGTTCAAGCCCGCCTCTTGTTCTTTCTACTAGAGACAGAAGAGGATGGCACAATGATCTAAATTTCACACTTGATGTGCCTACATTGCCTGGAACCACAAGGTCAAATCCTGGCAAGTTTGGACTCTGCCCTTCCAAAGTTTAACCCCCCCCCCCTTCCCCCAGATTTTATGCAGTTTATTACATATGGGTCTTTTAGATGAGACCTTAAAAAGTAAGATCATGTCATCTCCGTGTGGACATTAAAGCGCCCATGGCCTTATTCTTAAGAGTAGACATTTGCCCTTGGTCAAAAATTTTCTCCTCCCCCAATCCAACCCCATTGTTGCACAATGTGCAATGCATCAGTTGATTGCTGCATTTTAGTGCTCCTGAATGTATAAATCTCCTCTCACTCCTGCAGTCCTTACTCAGGCAAAATTCCCACTGACTTCAGCAGGACAATGACCGGAATGCTGCCATAATTTGCAGAGCACTTTGGAATCCTCCAGGATGAGAGAGTCTGAGTAGATCTGTAAAGCTGAGGAATGGACTGATGAATATTTTTTTAAAGATAGTATCAAATATTTAAGTAACTTGTTTGTAATGTATCAAATACTATCACATGGCCACATCACTCTGTGTCATTCTCCTGTAATGATTCAACAGTGCTGTTGTATCTCTGGTTTATAGGCTCTCTGTATGGTTTTTCCTCTTATTTCAGCCTTTGTTTAAGGTTTCACCTCCCGTGTATGTGGTTGTCATAACAAGGTTATAAAAATCAATTTTAAAAATGAAAACTAGTGCTAACAAAAATTGGAACCCAGGCATGGTTTCAGGGCAGAGTTTAGAGAAACAAAGGATTTAAGTTCCTAATGCATCATGTTAGTAAATCTGTACATCTTACCAATAAACTCCGAAGTACAGTAGCGACTGGAGGAAGTGAAGTCCCTGCTAGAGCATTTTGTTTCTTAAATTTTAATAGTCTGATTGGAGTTTTAAGCTGCGCTGGTCACGACAGGCCATCAAATGTTGGGGGAGGGGAGAGAAAGGAATGCTGTTTCTTTGATTAAATTTTACTTTGTATCTCCAATCATCTTCTGTTTCTTAAATAGGCATTGAGGGCTCCCAGAGCTTTGGACAGGCTTCCTTTGGTGTGGCGTTTAATAAGACTGAAATCTAAATAAATACGTGAATACTTGCAGAGATCATGAATAATTACATGCTGTTATACACTATCTTTTCCATCTTGTTTTGTAATGTTTTTCTGCAAACCAGGAGGTGGTGGGTGGACATGTAATGTAATGCTTTGGAAATCCGCCAGCCATCAAAAACCTCTGCGGGGTAACATTGCAGCAGCTTCCACTTGCAGCTGGCTACTTTGCTTCAGTCCGTTTTACAGACGAGACCCAAGACTTTCCTAGGGACGGAACCGTTCGCAGTGACCACACTCCCTCCAGAGCGGCTTTATAAAGGCATGCCAAGGAGAATGGTAACCCCAAAACAAAGGGCCAAATGCTGTTCAGAAAAGGAGACTTTGTTTTTCCAATAATGCATATTGCAAGCTATATCCACAAGCTATTTGAAAACAGCCAGTAATTCTTGGCTTTCATGTTTCCCAGTCCCCTGCGCAGCTTCAACCTGAACATGTAAGAATAATCTTAAATCAAGTTTACAGCTTTCACTTGCAGTTTCTTAAAACAATCCCTAGCTATTAGGGATTACAACATGACTTTCACGGGGGGGCAGATTATCCCATCTCAACCTCTTGTGAGGTTTCTTGCACCTTCTTCTGAAGCATCCAGTGCTGGCCTCTGCCAGAGACAGGTACTGGACTAGATTGACCTTGGGTCTGACTCAGTCTGGCAATTCCTATGGTTCTAATGTGAGAAACGACTGTCAGAATGGCACCTTGTTACCCAAGAGCTGTACACTGTGTATCAGAATCCCTGACTGCTGACGTTAGTGACAAAAATAAGCTTTGATTACTATTAATCTATCCATCTGCGCTATCTTCTTAGAAGGTGTCACTTGTATCGGAATATCTTCAACTTCTGCTAGGCTGTCAGCCAATACACTTATGTGTATGAGCTGGATTTTATTCCTCCTTGTGCATCATCGACAGCATTGTTTACTAAATTCCAGCGAACCCTATGTAAATCTACTGAAGACAGTGTGGTTGCACAAGAGCTAGGGCAGAACTGGTCCTGAGGAACTTCTTATTGCTGCTGTTGAGGCATGTACTAGACCGAAACCAGCTTGACATTTTGATCCCTGGTTCCATTTGCATGATTATCAGTTACAAAACAATCCTCTCCACTTGTGCACAGAGCACAGTTGATCTGGAAATCACTGAGACACAATGAGCCTGGAAATCACCACTGCGTTGCCAGCTGGTTAGAAAAACCCACTTGTAGCATAGACGGGGCCGCCGTTAAAAGTGGCTTCCAAACCCGTTGAGCTTTCCACTAATATAGACCGGTTTCGGGCCACATTTTGCCCAGTTTTATACTTTTATAAATGTGGAGTGATCCCATTTAGGTCCTGTAGAATTACACTAGTGTAAATGGGATCACTCATTACCACTCACACCTCTGAACAACACTGCCAATTGAGTGGATAGCTTACCAGTCCCACAGAGCCTCTAAAGCCAAACAGATAAGATACCCCTTCTGAAAGGAATACTTAGTTACAATGCATTCTAATGGAACTGAGCGATGCTGCCAAGTGACCCCAGACTGAGGATGCAGCACTACACATTGCTTAGAACAGCTTACGAATTACACTTTTGGGCTCTACTGGTATTGTGTTTACCTCTAGCCAATAACACTTCAGAACAATCTGTTCTTCTTGAGATGACTTCTGCTAGGAATCTCTTTCTCTTCCATGGTTTCTTTAGCTAGCAAAGTTCAAGGGTGGCCTGAAGTCAAATCTACTGCAGGACCCAGGTAAGGACAGGTACTCCTCTACCCCAATATTACGCAACCCGATATAACACAAATTCGGATATAACGCGGTAAAGCAGTGCTCCAGGGGGGTGGGGCTGCGCACTCCGGCCGATCAAAGCAAGTTGGATATAATGCGGTAAGATTTTTTTTGGCTCCCGAGGACAACATTATATCAGGGTAGAGGTGTAGCATGGACATGGGAAATTCCTCAGAGTTGCAGGTTCCTAGCACCTCTCAGGATTTAGCCCAGAGAGTCTATTGTTGTGGAATCAGAGATTCATTTGTCCAAGTATTAGTCTGAAATATTTTGTCTTAAAAATGTATCCTGCCTGTAAGCCTCACTCCATCCACAGGCTTAACAAAATGTATTCAAGCCAATAACAACCAGCATTGTATCAAACAACACTTGCTTTTGCTAATGCGATTGCAAGAATGAGCACTTTTATAGCATGTGCACACACGTTATGTTTATTTATAAAATCTGTACTTCATACATAAGCTGATTTCTGAATGGCTGAAGCACTGGACTCTGCTCTCCTATGGCTGAATCACAAAGATGCTTTGTAGTAACGGCATAATGAACAGTGATCCCTCTGCTGTCAAAGGCAATGGGACACAATGGTAGCATTTATACATTATGAACAGTATACAAATGATTAAGCTGGCATAGAAGAGATCAAGTAGGTTAGCCACAAGTTCAAACCCCAGCAGTACCAACTCAACCCTTCATCTATTTGAGAGACATAAATTGAGTTCCAGATAGAACCACACACAATGAACTTACTTACAAGATTTTCAAATGTGGTGGATTCTCCATCACTTGAAGTCTTTAAATCCAGCCTGGATGTCTTTCTAGAAGATATGTTTCCCTTCAACCAGTAGTTTCAGCCTGTGTTATGCACAAGGTCAGATTAGATGATCATAATTAGGGGTCTACTTAAATTGCAACAAAATCACACATCTTTCGCGGGTTGGTCAGGGCATAAAGAGCAAAATTTCGCAGATGTGTTCATACAGTTGTATATTCCAGGCCACCCTTACTTCTGCGCTGCTGCTGGCAGTGGCGCTGCCTTCAGAGCTGGGTGCCCAACCAGCAGCCGCCACTCTCTGGCCACCCAGCTTTGAAGGCAGCACAGAAGTAAGGGTGATAATACCGCGCCTGCCCTACAATAGGCTTTTGGGTTGGGACCCCCAGTTTGAGAAACGCTGTGTATTTTTGTATACTTTTACCTTATACTTTACCCTATACTATAGGGTAAAAGTACACAAAAGACCAGATTTAACGGGGGAGTCCAGATTTCATGGTCCATAATGTATTTTCACGGCGCCGAATTTAGTAGACCCCTAATCATAATGGTCCTTGCTGGCCTTAAAACCTATGAAACAAGGTTTCCTCTGCTCTCCGTGGATAATAAAGCTACTCTGGTACTCTAAGAGTTGGGGGAGGGTTGCCATGGTGTCCTGGGCCAAAAATTTCCATCCCTA